GCTTACAAGTTTTCATGCAGGCCCCTACATTTGTACCCTAAAGTTCAAAGTGGGGATACAGCCCTGACACCTGCCTACTGTATTTTTCACTCCATGCATCTGATGAAGTGAATTATAGCCCACGAAAGCTTATGCCCAAATAAATAAATATATATATATATATATTTTTAGTCTCCAAAGTGCCACAAGGACTCTTTGTTGTTTTTTCTATTCCTATAGGTCAGTGGTTCCCAAACTTTAACAACCTGTGAACCCCTTTCACTAAAATGTCAAGTCTTGTGAACCCCCTCCTAAAAATGAATATTTCCAGGGATTTTCTCCTTTGAGTATAAATTATAAAAGTAGTGATCCTGGAAATACAAAATTTGTTTTGACATGATTAGTACACATTTAGTACAGTATTTTTATTACATTATAAAAAAACAGCACCATATCCACAATCTCACTTTCATAGCTTGTATCACTCTGAATAAGCCTGTTATAAGACAAGGCTCCTATGTTTCATCAAGGGGTATCAAATGTGAAACAGCATGAAGGTATTTAAGAAGCCAACTCCAAGTTCCTCCTACACAAGCATTCAGGTCTGGAGCAGTCTAGGAACACACACGTTACAATAAAGCCTAAACTTGTTCTTCATAATTTTAAAAACAATACTAGCTGCCTATTTAATTTAAAAACAGCAAAAACTATCTACCTCTTTCCATTTCTTATAAGGATTCTTGAAGTTTAAATCTCCTCATGGTGACAGATATGCTTGCTTAGCTCTTAGAAGTCCATGGGCTACTGGCCCCTTGCTGCCCGTGGTCCCTAGGGACAGGTCTGTCGGCCATCAGGGAATTTTTTTCCCACAAACCCCAGTTTGGGAACCACTGCTCTAGGTAAAGCTCTTTCATTTGACTGTATTAAAACATGTCTGAGTCACATCACTCTCTAGCAGTGATTTGTCATCCTAATTATTTACTTCTGTATCATGTATGAACTTTTTATCAGTAGTGATGATATATTCCAGGTCACTGATTAAAACTGTAAATATTAGTGGGTTGACAACCTATCCATAGGGCAAAATTACATTAGAAACTACCACCTGTTGATTCCCCATCATGATTAAGTGTTCCACAGCAATGTACGGGGAAAATATTCTCACTTGCATACAGAACAATAATTATTCTGCTGAGTTTATATGGCCATTTTTTTTAAGTGTGTGGGTGGTGTGTGTAGTGAGGTTAAAATTTTTCTAAAGACTGTATTTTAAGGAAAAAATATTTAAAAAAATGTTTAACAAAGCTTAACCCTTATAGTAGAAGAAAGGCAACCACCATCAGCTCTATGAAAGATAAACACCCAAGGAGGTAGCAGAAAGGGATGGGGCCATTAACAATTAATGGGATGAAGTTTTATAAAGACACCTTAATATGGCTTTCAGGATAGACTTTCAAGCAAAAACTGTAAGGAAAGATGCAATAACCCACATGAAGCCTCTGTTACATTTTAAAGATTGGCTTTGCTGTAGCCATTGGTAGGAAGTTGTTGCAAGACCTCTCTCAGAACCTATTTCCTACCCACCTTCCTTCAACCATGCTGCAAACAAGCAAGCAACCGGATGCTCTGATGACAATACTTATATCTCCACTGCAGCACTGTAAAGAAGGAGATCAATCAAGCCCAATCTCAGGCAGTTCCAACTGCCAAGGTCACCGCCAAAGAAACTGCAGTTGTAGCCAGCTGTCTGTTACCCTACCATTGAGCATTCCTGAACTTCTGATAGTCACTAATAAGTAATGTTAATTTTGCATATAAACAACTTGTTTACTAAATACTATAAGAGAAAATACCCTGTAGCTCTGGGGTTCTCAATCTTTTGTACTGGTGACCCCTTTCACACAGCAAGCCTCTGGGTGCGACCCCCCCCCCATACACTAAAAACACTTTTAAATATATTTAACACCATTATAAATGCTGGAGGCAAAGCAGGGTTTGGGGTGGAGGGTGATTGCCCATGACCCCCCATGTAATAACCTCATGACCTGCTGAGGGGTCCCAACCCCCAGTTTGAGAACCCCCTGCTATAGCTGTTTTTGGAACATTCACTTTTGGGCCTTAAGATAGAATACAGATAACATCATCTAAAAAGTTACATTGCTGTGATTCAATAGGAGGATTATGCACAGTTGTGATGACGGTGACTACATGGTCTATGCTTTAGATTTGGAGGATATCTTGTAAAGGAAAAGAAATGGATTGTCCCCCTTTTTATTCCCTTTGCTTCTGTTGATATAAAAATCTAGCAAGGAAAAAAGAACAGGCCTCTTCTAAGTAAGGCTTTTTGACCCTACTTCCAGTCATCCACAGTATCTTTCTGGAAGAATGGTAATAGCAGGTTTATGCAGACTTCACCTCCTTAGTGTACTTCCCCTCTCAATATTTATTCAGATTGTTTAAACTCTTAACTCCAATACCTGAAAATTATGCAGCAGAGGAAAAAAAAGTATTTTGTTAAAAGTTCACCATTCCCACCCCCCTTCCATTATAGGAACAGAAAGCTTTCATGCCAAGAAGTAGTAGTAGTGCACATTTAACCTGTACTAAAATGTTAGGGTGAAATCCAACCATCACCAAAGTCAACAGTCAGGATTTCACGCTTGCCACAAACAAGGCAATTGTAGCTTTACCCTGTGATAGCTGTTCAGTGTAAGCCCTAATGGGGAGCCTATGTTTGGGTTTACCTCGACCAGCTACAACTGCCTTGTTTAAGCTCAGATTCTAAACACACCTTTTTCCTCCCAGTGAAGGAAAACTCCAATTCTGTATCTGAGGTTTCTCACAAAACAAAGAAAAACCAACTTTGACATTTCTGATATTTTCAATGTAAAAAAATTTTCAGAGCTTCTTTCGTTGTCATAAAGCAGTTTCAAAGAGTCCACAGGACAAACCCCTTTTTCCCTTGCAGATTACTTTTAAACACCTAAACTCCCTGCAACCGTAGGTTCACATCACAGTGAGATCAGTTTAGCCATTCATCTTGCAGCGGCAGATATATCTGGTATTCTACTGTTTACTGTTGTACAGATCTTTCCAGTCCTGCCTGCCCTGGGAGATTATTAGAGACCCCATGGACCCTTTTTGTAAAAGTAGGCATTTGTCCTCATGTCCTTGACCAAAGTATCCTTGTTTCTAACCTGCTTTTTCTTTGCTACATTTCTATAGTACTATGTGTACTGTATACACTTGTAAAACATTTGGGATTCCTTCCATATACACCTCTACCCTGATATAATGCGACCCAATATAACACGAATTTGGATATAACGTGGTAAAGCAGTGCTCCGGGGGGGCGGGCCTGCGCACTCTGGCGGATCAAAGCAAGTTCGATATAACACGGTTTCACCTATAACGTGGTAAGATTTGTTGGCTCCTGAGGACAGCATTATATCGGGGTAGAGGTGTATTACTACAAGAATATTCTTTGTATTTTCCATATTCACAATGATTCACAAAACATTACAGAATTAAATATTTTACTAAATATGTAAAATTAAAACACGTTTAAAGTTACTTCCCCAAACCTTTTTAGAAACAAACATGTATCAATACAACATCGATAGTGAACAATGCTCAGAAGAACATTGTTACCCATTCCATTTCAAACAAGAAAACTCTTTTCCAAGCAACTAACATGCTAGCTTTTGTCAGCAAAATTAGTGGGGGAGTTTTATTATTATTTAGCAAGAGATTTTCACACATGGAGCCCAATTTTGCAGTTCATAGGATTACTTCAATGAGTAGGTGCAGGTCAATGTTGTAGAGTGGGGCTCAGAAATAGTTGAAATTTCAGAACTGAGCTTTTCTTCAAGTAAATAAAAATAAACCCTGCTAACAATACATTTTTGCCTTAAAGTAAAACCTCTTCATTAACATTAATAGGTTTTTCCTTATGTCAGACATTTTAAAGCGGTGCCAGCTGCCAATCGTGGGATGATCCGAGTGACCATCAGCATGCAGGGAAGATACAGTACAGCCTGATTACACTTAGCTTGGACGTAGCAACATTCATTGTTGTTTGCTATAAATGGGAAGTCCTAACATGGTTCAATGCTTTGCACAGTACAAACTGCAATTCCCATTACAGTGAAGCTCTCTGTGTAATTAAATTGTTTTATGGAGTAAACATTACCTCACTAGAGGGCTCCGCTGTACTCTGCTGAAATCTGTAAGCAGTCCCTTAGGTGGTGGCTGTTTTAACAGGTGGCAGCATAACAGTGAGGTTTTATCAACCATCAAGTTAGATGATCATTAGCCCATGTTTCACAGTACATAGGTATGCTCAAGTAAAATCATTCCTTGTTAAACCGCCATAATTGAGCTCATCCCTTGCTTGGGGCACCACAGCAGAGAGGCGGAAAAGGATGGCACAAATGGGACATTAGACGTACCCGTTTGTATGTTCTCCTAGACTATTACAAAGCCCTTTTTGGTTGTTTCTTTCTCATTCTTTGGATGTTTCCTTACAGTTCACAATCTGGGGTCAAGAAGCACTTAGCAGGTGACTGCTGTCAGTCAGATTCTGACCTCTCATTTGATTTAGAAGATTTGTGCTTTCTTTTCTTTTTCTTCTTTTTTTCCTTTTTCTTTTTCTCCTTCTTTTTCTTCTTCTTGTGTTTCTCTTTACATTCTGAGGAACTGGAGCTGCCACTACTTCCATCTTCATCTGAAGAAGAGTCTTCCAGCAGTTGCTTCAATTGCTGTATCCTAAATACACAAAAATTAATATGAACGAGAATCCTTTCTCCATGTGTGCAGCGGTATGCCCACCCCAAAAAAAGTGAAGGATGTAATAGACTTGTGAGAACTGGTCACCAGGTTCTCTTTGGGGAGGATCCCTGGCTATGCAAATCACTCCAGTCAGAGTCCAAGTTATGGCTTTCTGTGCTCCTGGTTTCAGACAGGCATTTGTCCAACTCAAGTGTTTTTCCATCCTGTAGGTGGGGTCATTTATAAGGGGAGGGCCTCTACTACTACCCAGCAAAAGCAGTTATTTGATGATTTTATTTTAATATGTATACAGTGTACTCAGAATCAACAGCCATCAGTATGCCCCCAAACCAATTTTTATACTACTACTAACTGACATGCAGGTGAATCCAGGATGAATAAATTATGAGGTTTTGTTACAATGATGAAGAGCGGGGAGTCACTGGTATCACTGACATAAAAAGCAGGTTCTCCTTTAGCAAAACAGATAATTTCTGATGCAAAAGCCTCCCCCCCCCTGTTTAGTTCCATGCGAGAATGGATTCTTAACAGATCAGGAAAGTCTCCTTACTAGCTTGATTACTTCTATTTGGTACCATCCATTTCAACTTGGTGTGTATTTTTTTTAAACACATGCAACTGGTCACCTACAACTACACTGCACCCTATCCCTTAAGCTCAAATGTTGATTGGACATTGCTCATCAGTGATGCTTCCCAGTGCAAGGAACAAGGAAGAGAATTAAACGTTTCTGCCCTATTTACTGAATAACGATTTAACAATAGGAATAAAGGCCACATTTTTCAAACATGGGTACCTAAAGCTAGCTTCCTAAATCCTTACAGAGGTATCTAAATAAAACCAACCTGGTTTTCAGAACTGCTTAGAAATATCACTGAAGTCAATTGGAGCTGTGAGTGCCCAGCACCTTTGAAAATCAGATCATTTTTACTAAAGATGTAAAAAAATAGATTTAGGAGCCTTCCAGGTTTGAAAATGTTGACAAAAATGAACATGTCTACTTTTTGAACAGGCAGTTCTAGGAATCATTAAATATAAAATCACTTCAATTTATGAGCAACAAGTAAAATAGCAAATATTTATTAAGAAGGGACAAATGACACCTCCTCTTCTGCATCAGCTGTTTATTAAAATATAAAGATTACCATTAAAAATTAACTTTTGTTTGGAGGTGATGAGTTGAACAGTGAGGGAAATTTTGCCCGTAATATCTAATTTTCACAGAATAATACAAATTAAAGGCTTACATTAAAAAAAAAATTTTTACTACAGAGATACACTTACCTCATTTCCTTTTCATGGCGTTTATTTTCCCTTATTACATCATACATGGGATCTTCATGTGCCTTTGAAAAAGAGGAAAGGGAAAGCCCAGTATCAGTAAAAGAGACTACCACTGGCGCATATATTTATGACACTTTCCTACCACTAAAATATCCAATCCAACAATAAACGTTTATTCCAATAGAAGAGTCCCAAGCTCTCAATTCACAAGGATGCACTGACATTATTGCAAACCTTTTGGTGAACTTGGGCTGATTTTTGGCATCAGGAAAGGTTTATGCAACTCTGATCCAAAGACTATGTAGCTGACTGCATAGAGCTCTCCTTGCCCACAACACGTCTCCTCCTATAGTTGGGGACTATCTCCTATAGGTGCTCAAATATTATGGTGATATGAGACATAAAACTGGTTATAAATAAATTAGAACTACTGCTGAAGTCCTGAAATAATCTTAAATATGCCTCTAACATATTTGAACCTTCCCTCTCCATTACTTCCTTTTTCACTCACTGGGGACAACACTGACATCCTGTCTGTGAGCCAGAACCATAACCTGGGCATCATCCTCTACTCCGACCTCTCTCTAGGTCCTCATAGCCATGCAATGTCTAAATCTTGCAGATCTCTTTTCTCTAAAACATGACGTTTCCGATCCCGCCACATAGCTATAATTCTTGTTCAGGCTCTTTTTAATCTCATATCTTGATTACTGCAACATCCTTTCCTCTGGCCTTGACAAAGGCAATCTTGCCCCATTAATATCCATTCAGAATGCTGCTGCAAAGATAATTCTCCTAGCTCATTGTGTTGACCATGTCACCTCCCTCTTTGTATCCCTTCACTGGCTCCTTCTTTTTTACTGCTTCAAACATAAGCTGCTTGTCTTCCCTTTCAAGACGCTCTTCCACCCTAATTCTATCACCTCTCATTCACTGTCGAGATGTCAGTTCCCGTCTCTGATTAGCCCACGATGCCAGCCTCTACTGCCCACTTGTTAAATTTGCAAACACCATCACCCTTTCTCCCAGGCTGCCTCTCATACTCATGAGATGCTCCCCGTAAACATCTGCAAAACTTCCTCATTATCCTCCTTCAAAACCCCTTTTTTCTGTGATGCCTCAGACAACCTGACCACAGTTAGTACACTGGTGTGCTAAAACCACTGCCTCCCATGTTGAACAATATCGTCTCATTGTTTCCTCGTACTCCATCTGTCAGTATTGTATCCTCTGTCTCTTGGCTAAGCTCCGGAGGCAGGTGTTTGTACAGCACCAAGCACAATGGAGTCCTGATCTATAAATAGGATTCCTAGGCCCTATGGTAATAAAAATAATCTTCCAATTTTTTCTCTACCACTATTTCTATGGTCAAGCTGTATTGCAGAGACACCTGTACATTAGCATAAAGAAGAATACCTATTAAGCACCAGCACTTAAATCCCATATCTGGAAGGCATTTTGTCCATCCATAGTTAAGGAAGAAGCTAGTTTCCTATTTTAAGTTTGATTCCCAACCCCTCCCCTTACTAATTCTACCTAAACAATCCCCCTGAAATTTTACATACGCTATCTCATCCCCAGGATAGAATTTTTCTGTGAAATGTAAGACAAATCACATGGGAGTTTTACAGATAAGGTATTTCTAAAATTTCTGCATCATTCACTCTTTGAACATCTTCCTAACTTTCTTGTGGCTCCTCATAGCTTGGTCTACAAACTCATTTGATGCGAGGTAATCCAAATCTCTTGATGGCAAATCTGGGCAATTCACCACTGATTATTTGTTAACAGAGTTTTTGTTACATTGATATTTAATCATAAATAACTGATGTTGAAAAGATTAAAGACTTATAATTTATATGCAAATTATTATCTTCCATTTAAAAAGTGGGTTTTCTGCAAATTAATAATACATTCAATCACATCTGTGTATGAAGAGAGACATTTTTCTCTAATAAGAGGACTATGGTCAGGTTTCAACATCAATATGATACTAGACACAGCGGAAAATCCTTTATAGATCATAACCTAATAGACTTCTTTTCACTTGCAAGATTAGCCATCATCATTATTAATGAAAAATACAACCAATACTACAATATTTTTACTTACTACTCTGAATTGTTCCAATTTCTGATTGCCTTTAATAAAGAATGGGCATTCTTTATCTCCTGTTCTGTGTCCATAACGTTTACATCTCCAACCTTTAGTAAAACAGAAGCAAACTGAATCTTTGAGTCAGCTCACAACCGATTAAAAACATTAATGGAAAACATCTTTACGTAGCTGAAGCACAGTAAAGAGAAACAAACCATTAAATTCAGTCTGCAAATCTACAAAAGCCTTCAAGATACTGGCTGCTATTATATCAATATGAAGTCAATATATCTGGAATTCATCTTTTATACTGCATAGTCACTTATCGCCAAGATTTTTTTGCTTAAAGTCAAAAGATTTATAAAAGAAAAAAAAAAAGCCCAGTGAAATTTGGACGCTTCTTGCACTTACACTGCATAACTTTGACTTCTTTTCCTAATGGCATCCAGAGTCCTTTAGTTGGGGCATGAGCCAGGAATTCTCGGGCATGTTCATTGCCTGGTACATCAGGTATGCAGTCTTCTGGCTTAGTTTCATCTTCCTATAGAAATGGTAAGCAAAACAAAACCCCTATTTCATCTAGCTTATTTTAAAACAAATAACCCAAGTGTATAAGTATATGTCGTCATTTACTAATAGACCTACTTTCTCCCTGATATTCCTTTCCTCTTTTATACCCATAAAGTTATACCCTTTTTAGTAGCATTCACTCATTTTTCTTTTTTGCTACCCTTAACTTTTCCCTTCAAGCCTGAATTGCTTCCCTCCTGTGCCATTTAGTCCAACACTTAATTAAATTAAAAGAATTAAACACTTTTCAACTTTTATTGATTTTTCTCTTCCCTGTAATTGAATATAGTGATTACAATAGCCTTTATGTGCGGCAGTTTTTGTTTAAGTTGCAAACACTAAATTATGACTCTTTGAATCTGGTAATAGGAATTTCACAAAAGATCACATGCTAATTTAATGTGATGTTAATGGCAAGGAGAGAGGGAATCATACAAGGTGGATTTGATCCCCCCCAAAGCCAATGGAAAAACTCCTATTGATTTTAATGAACCCAGGATTCCAACCAGTGTTTACAGTTTCTTTTAAATACAAAACATTTATTACAATTTACTAACCTTAATTAGCCCTGGAGGAGGTTTCTCATAGCTGGAAAACAATAAAAATATAGTTGTACTAACATTATTTTCTACAACGTAGCATCAGACTTATATACATGGACAAAACAAAGCCGTTCAATGTTATAAAATTAAAAATTCCATATAATTTAAATGTACTTAGCCTAAAGTTTTATTTAATTACACTCCTTAAGAAGTGTAGCAACCACAGTGCAACACACTGATGCAAACAGAGTGAAGTGATGCTTGTGGTGTTTCTAAACAGCCAAAAAAAAAGTCTTCTGCAAATAACACAATCCACTCTAATCTGCAAACATGCTTTGGTTTTGAGTTTGCTTGGAAATGACAACTTCATTATGCTGCTTTATAGTGATGTTTCGTGCATCCAACTGAGCCCTAGCTGCCAGAAATTCACAACTCTTTCATCTTGAAAGTCTAGCTATGGTAAGGAAAATGACATCTTACCACTCCATATTTATTTTTTCCAACACTGAGTCATAAATACACCTCTACCCTGATATAACACTGTCCTTGGGAGCCAAAAAAATCTTACCGCGTTATAGGTGAAACCACATTATATTGAACTTACTTCGATCCGCCGGAGCGTGCAGCCCCCCCCGGAGCGCTGCTTTACCGCGTAATAGCCGAATTCGTGTTATATCGGGTCGCGTTATATTGGGGTAGAGGTGTATGCTCAACTGACAATGTCAAAGCAAGAATTTTCTTACTGCCAGCACCACAAGCTCAACCTAGTACAGGATAATCAAACTGTCTCTCTAGTACATTCAACATCATCAATGACTAATCTGAAGACAGCATCAATGATAGTTTTGTTGATGACTCAGGAGGCTGTTCTGCAGCCATGCTGGATCAGCAGCGTTGACAATAGAGAGACTTGTTTTTGTCCATACAGTGGGCAGATCTGACTTGGAAGACACCGATGGAGACAATGTACACATGGGTGTTCAATGCCAAGGTATCATTTGATCATCTTCTTAACAATAGCAACACTTAGAGTACTGTCTGGAGTAATTCACAACAAGAAATCCCTACTCCCACTGTGAAGGAATTAACATTAAATTATGGTTGCAGCCCATGGTATTTCCACCCGTCTCAACCCCCTTTTCATAAATTAAGGCACACACATATTTTACAGCATCAGAGGAATCATTCAGCACATCTTAAGCCTTTTACATTGAACATTTTTTCATTCACTTCAAAGGGATCCTGCTGGTCATGCTTTGCTGCCAAACTACAGGTCCCACGCTTTCTTCGAAATGTCACTTAAAAAACAAACAGGACAGATACAAAATCAGGGAAGGAGTTGGGGGAAGGACACTTTTTTTAAAAAGCAGGGCCGGCTCCAGGCACCAGCTTACCAAGCAGGTGCTTGGGGCGGCCACTTTGGAGAGGGGTGGCACGTCCAGCTGTTCGGCGGACGGTCCCTCACTCCTACTCGTTTTTTTTGTTTGTTTGTTTTGTTTGGCTGCTTGGGGCAGCCAAAACCCTGGAGCCGGCCCTGTTAAAAGGCACTGGGTGACAGACATTTTTTTTACTTATCTTCACGTGGACAGGTATATAGAGAATGGACAGACTGGCTGCCTTCTGTAAAATGTTCAGAGAAATTGGTGGGCATAGCAACAACAACAAATCCTGGACCTATTTCTATGCAAAATGGGCCACGTTAGAAGGTCACTGCACACAGCTGCCCACCAGAAGACTTGTGCACAGCAGGTGAAACACTGGCTACATGTTTTCCCCTCTGCTTCAAGTTCCCTGACCCTAAACAGACCAGAGAGGCTGCACTACAGCCAAAACAGTAGCCACAGAGTGGTATACCTCTCACTCTGCAAAGGCCTAAATGTAAGACACAAAGTGTGACAATGGCCCAAATTGAGGCCATCAAAATATTATTCATGCAGCGAAGTTAAAAAGCGATGGGACTGATTCCTCAGTGTAGAGAGCTCTATAGCATCAGTTTAATGATTCCGCATTTCTAATGTATACAGTATAACTTTCAATGATAAAAGTGAAGGGACACCGATTTTGGGGGGGAATTTAGGTAACTTTGGAACTACGCTGAGTGACATTCCTCAAAAAGAGGGACATATGAGAAGCATTTTCTGGGATAGGTCCTACTGGATTTTGTAAATAAAACTCCTGCTCTGGCTTCATACACTGATTATTTATGTCAGGAACAAAGGTAACCAGTACAGGGTCTGGGCCTGCGCATGGGGTTACTTCCAGACAGGATTTGGAAGAAAATGAACATTGCTTTTGCCACATGTGCATGCACAGGTTTAGACTCCCTATTTCCATGCAGCAGCAGAGCCTGGCCCATTGCCTCTAAAAAAAAAACCCAGATCAAAATTTTGAAGCACCACATGGGCAATGATTAGCCAGAATTAGAAGGGAGCCAGTAGCAGGTGACATAATAAAATGATCCCATTCCCATAACTCTGGCGCTTCCACCCCCTTTGTAGTTTTCATTTATAAATAAAATATGAGTGTATTTTAATTATCTATAAAGGCCAAATACATCAGCTAACAACAAATGCCGCCCCTAAATTTTAATCCGGATTTCCAGCGCCCTCCCGGGGACCCAGTTCAGCAGAATGTTATGATCTATTTGCGAACGCACAGGAGAGGCGCTCAGATACCAGGGGGGTGGGCTAGCGGGAGTGCGGGGTTTGGGTTCAGCCTGTCACAGAAGCAGGGGCTAGCCGTAAAACAGAGCTGCCCGCCGGACAGGCCCATCTCTGCAATGACGGGTCAGCAACGGGTGGGGGCACTGGCGGGCAGCTCCCCAGCCACAGAGGGGCTTGTCCCGGGGACTCTCCGTCTGCTCCCCCCTCCCTCCGAACCCCTTACAAGGACTCCAGGTGCTGGATTTGCTGGATCTGCTGCACCTCCCGCTTCTTCCTCTTCTGCTCATGCCGCTCCAGCTCCCTGCAGCCCCCGCTGCTGCCTGCCAGGGGCTCGCGCTGGCTCCTGGGCCGCTTGTGGCTGCGCCTCTCGGCGGGGGCGGCCTCCGCCTTCTCCCGCGCTCCCCGCCTGTGGGACATGGGGGCCCCGGGCTCGGGCGGCCGGCGGGAAGGGGAGGCACAGAGCCGAGCAGCTGCAGCTCCTGCAGCGACCAGCGCCTCCCCTCCCCCCGTTGCTGATTTCACTTTCACTTGACTTCCCATCCCTGCACCCGCTGCTGGCAAAGCAGGGACTTCCTCTGGGCGGCTGGGCCTGGCTAATCCCAGGCAGCGCCCCCTCCTTCTCCAGCGCTCCGCGGGGCACAGAGCGGCCCTGCTGAGCTCAGCCCCTGGCTAAGGGGCCACCCGCTTAAAGGGTTTTCAGGGGGGAAAATGGTGAAAGCTGCCTGGGGTGGAGGTGAGTCGAACTATTCCCTCTGCATTAGTAACCATCAAAGCAATGAGCTAGTGCAGGAGCACCAGGAGGGGGGAACGGACCCTACAGAAAAAGCCACGCAGCCCAGTCTGAGGCCCTGCCCCTGCAATCCCAGCTGTGCAGGTGCACCCCAGCAAATCAGGAGCCATAGGTGCTGGAACTAGGGGTGCTGCTGCACCCCCTGGCTTGAAGTTGTTTCCATCATATACGGGGTTTACAGTTTGGTTCAATGGCTCTCAGCAGCCGCACTATACAAATTGTTCCAAGACCTGTCAGGAGCCCTCCCCTCCCCCTGTCCCCTTAGGATCAGGTTTGAGATAATGGTTACCTGCTCATAGTGCCTGCGCTCCTCTCATTTTCTTTTATATTCTTTGGTCTGCTTTATATTTTAAAAGCCAGAAAGGCAAGCGACCCCAGCAGAGTTCATAATAACTAATAACACTTAGCTCTTATATAGCACTTTTCATCCACTGTCTCCCTGCATCTTACAGAGGGGCACAAGGATCATTATCCTCATTTGACATAGGAGGAAACTGAAGCAAAGAGCA